TTCTCTATGGACGCTGTCTTGCTTGTGTAGAGCACATAAAGGATCTCGGCGTAACTTTTGACTGCAGACTCACTTTCAGAATCCACTACAATGACATCATCTCCAGAGCTAATCGACAATTGGGCTTTATTTTAAAAATTTCCGACGAGTTTCATGACCCGCTATGTCTCGCGCAAATTCAGTTGTTTGATGCCTTTTCCATGCTAGCTGGATCACTAGAATTGAATCCGTTCAACGCAAGTTTGTGAGATATGCTCTTCGTTTCCTCAACTGGCGTGACCCAACAAACATGCCACCGTACGAGGAGCGTTGCCGTCTCCTGAGAATCGAGCCATTAAAGGTGAGACGGACGGTCGATCAAGCTATGTTCGCTGGAAAGCTGCTTACGGGTGACATTGACTGTCCAACACTGCTGTCACAGCTAAATATGTATGCCCCTGAGAGGTCTCTTCGTCAACGCAACTTTCTGTGTTTGGAACCACGTAGCCGGAATTATACACAACACGAGCCAATTCGAGCAATCAACCGGCAATTCAACAACTTTTTTTTATATGTTCGACTTCAATGTATCAGCTGACGTGTTTCGTCATCGGCTACTTGGCCTTTACCGTACCGTTGACCGTAACTATTTAGTTTAAGTTTTATTCATTTAGACAATAATTGTCAGTTGAATTTTTCAATAAACAATAAACAATCTGACGGCTTCCAGAAGACAGTCCAACTTATACACCCGAAAGGTCCCAGTCCAAGACAGAAACCGACGGATCACAATCACGAATCGAACTGCTGGACTGGACTGGAGAAAGAATGGATGCGATCTCAAGGTATGACTTATTTATGCAGAAGGTAAAAGGGGATACCAGGAAATGGGAGGATCCACCTGAACACCGACTCCAAGTTATTCTATCGCGGTTGAGAACTAACCATACCAATCTCTCCAACAACACGGGAGGCCGAGGCAGATTTGGAAGGGAGTGCGACACAGTGTAACGTTGAAGAATTTTTCGTGATGGATTAAAAAATCGGTGCATGGAACGTTGAACTACCGATTACAAATTTAATTTATAACATTATTCCACTCGTTATTATTTCAAATGGTCATTACCTCGAATCCCTTGTGAAAAGCTATTGATTATATATGTTCCTTATATATTAAAAGAAAGTAATATTCCCTTCTTTATCATACATCCAAAGAATTAATTATTTTCTCTTTTATATATTCAAAGAAGGGAATATTCCCTTCTTTATCGTTTATTCAAAGAATTAATTATTTCCTTTTCTTATATTTTCGAAGAAGGGAATATTCCCTTCTTTATCATATATTTAACGAAATAATGATGTTATCTTCTATATATTCAAAGAAGGGAATATTCCGAGGGGGGCGACACATCTAAATCTCAATATTAGATGCTCCAAAAATTTCACACTAGCGAATCAATCTTCGAAAACTCTTCTTTCAATTCTCGCATCTACTTGCATCTTTTTGCAGGAAATCTTCAGAATCGTCATTGATCTTCTTTCTATCTATTCAGCGTGTACGCAGCTAGCCACAGCAAAACACAATCTTTCCTGCAACGTAGATAGAGTCGTCCCCCTCGGAATATTCCCTTCTTTATCGTATATCCAAATAATAAATTCTTTCTTTTTGTTATATTTTTAAAGAAGGGAATATTCCATTCTTTATCCTATATCCAAAGAATTAATGATTTTATTTTCTTAAATTTTCAAAGAACAGAATATTCCCATCTTTATTATATATTTAACTAATTAATCATGTTCTCTTTCATATATTAAAAGCAGGGAATATTCCCATCTTTATCGTTTATCCAAAGAATTTATTATTTCCTTTTCTTATATTTTCAAAGAAAGGAAAACGCCTTGATCCATTAAGAAGTTTTTCTATTCTCTTTAGGTATATTCGCGAAAGAAGATTCCAGGAGTGACTATAATAAACAAAAATAATCAATCTAATACATGGCATACTTTTCTGGGGAATGGTGCATTCTGGGGAATGGTTTTCGGGGGGATGGTTTTCTGGGGAATGTTATAGAGCCGAAAAAAGTAGCTAACAAAATTCGATAAAAATGACCAAAGTCGGAAAAAAGATAAGTGTGTAAGGAATGAATGTGATATAAAACAAAGTGACAAATACACTGAATTTAAACTATATAGTCTTTATAAAATAGTCGTTGTTGGATCAAATGAATACCGTATCATAAGTTAGTCTTCGTATCATTAGCAGATAAAACTACACACTAGTCCAAGATGCATTCGCACCATCTTCTGTAATGGAATACCCTACATAAATTAGATGTTGAATTGGATCGATAATTAATAGATACTTCTCTATCGGATCCTATATCAAATAGGTCTTGTTAAGAAATTCCATCAATTCTATTTAAGTTGTTATCTACTGTGAGCTTTCGCTCGGTTCATTTTTCTCACTCGTCTCATCTGTACTTTCGCTTTGTGTCTTAGTGTTGATTCCCAAACCAAGCCAGTTGGAGATCATGGCAATACCCTCGTCGGTCGATTCGCTCACCGCCGCCAAGATGTCTGCGGTTGACAAATTGTCCAAAAGTGCTAGGGGCGATGTAGAGTTGGCAGCTGGTACAATCGGTTTCGGTGGTTCTTCATCTGCCTTCTTTTCATCGGCAGTAAGAGGTGCACTCTCAACGCTGTAAAATAGAGCGACAGATCCATTAGAATATACTTTGTTTGTTTTGTTTGTTGTTTATTAAGGACATTTTACATCTCCGCGATGCATTCATGTCCGTATTAGAATATAGTCATTATTAGACTTATTAGACATTTATCATCACTTTTTTCAACGGGCCAAACCTTAGATTTGTGCCAATACCTGTAAATCATTTTTTTATGAAATCTGGAAAATCTATCAAATCACCGAAGGTAATTAAATTAAAATGAGGAAGAGTTATGTTAGTTTTGATCCGTATTTAGCCCTGCTGACCATGCAAGGAAATTGTTGTTAGATCGTGTGACAGTGCTACTGCTACTACTACTATATTAGATGTATGACATGTCAAGTTTCATTAGAGCAATTAAAGTGTACTACTTGTCTTTCAATAAATTATTCAATTTAGATCTTACTTTCCTGTAAATTTCATGAATTGATTTTCGAAAATTTGCTCTACATATTGGTTTACATATCCTACCTTACCGAAAACATACTAAAGCACAACAGACCTAATTCTCACCTCAAATATATCAACATATTTAACACATCCTTTCCAAAACCACACTTATTCGTAAGCGCCTGATCGAAGATATGAATTTCACTGTTGACATTTCCTGTAATTAACAAATATACTAAATAGAAAGATTTATTCTACAACTAGTTACCTCCCTAAGCGGAGCCCCGCATAATTTTTTTTATTTAAGTTCATTTGATGATTATGATATCTCATAATAAATATATGAAATCTATAATCTATCTAATTATCTTTCCAGGTGACACCTTCAAGTGACTAAAATGCTTCACTTTGAAGTTAGTTTCCTAGCTGATTTTTAAATTATATAGGGTATATGCTCCAATTACGCTCACACGTTTCCACTATGTCGCACCACAAAAATACGTATGGGTATGTCACAATAGAAGCGCCCCACAGTGGAAATCCCGAGCCATAGTTCCAACACGTATCCCAAATCGAAATTAATCAAATATAAGATTAGTTACAATATACCATGTACAAAAATGGTGTTTAACGTTTTTCTCTGAGTAATACTTCAATGAAAACAACAATGAAAGCACGCAAGTAGAAGGATCATTGTTGGGCACTTTCTGAAATATTTCAGTAGTATAATTCCCTTGCAATCCCAAATAAATCTATCTGTGTAAAAATAAATAAAAGAAAATAAGAGTGATTTACGGCAAAACCCGCCAGTATCACACCCAACGTCAGTGCCTATACGTAAGCGTACTACGACGCGGCTCTCAAACAAAGGAGTAACAAGTGTGATACTATCATTGCCATACTAGATCTTTGGTTCTCTCATGCAGTGGTTCATCAGAGAGGGGAAGCTTAGTAATCCACATCGCCTGCCCATGGCGCCATTCTATCGCGGCATGGGTCAGCAACGCCGGTCATAAACGTACCGTCTCCAACACTCCACTATAAAGCATGACATTAAGTCCGCCCACCAACAGCAAGGAGCAAAAACTAGCCAAAAGGAGGGTACATTCAAAAGCAAATATCTCAATAAAACTAACTGGATTCATGATGCAGTCATCAGAAAAGTTGTTACTCATTGTTTGAACTACAAGTTTTAAAAATCTGAGTCAAGTCGAGAATAAGGAAACTTTTTTGTGATCGATAGAGTGTAGGGGTGTCATTTTTTTATGTATTTTTATCAAAATTTCCTATACAAACTGCATACTAATAGCGCCACTTCGTCTTACAACCAAATGAACTGAACTTTCAGGGAATGGTTTTTTCTCCTAATGGCACAAATGTAGTGGTTGGCCCGAGGAAAATTGTAACATTTATTTTTGTGGGCTAGTCTACTCATTATCAATCAACATGTAGATATATTTATATACCAACCTTTCTACTGGTTGTTGCTCTTGAATTTCGTCTTCGGATGATTTGATCAGTTCCACTCCCTTAGGTCCCATACGGAAGCAACCGAGAGGAAGTTCGATTTGTACTTCCCCCAGCAGCATCGGTTCCAGCTGCAGACAGCCCCGCATACCATCGTCAGTTGGAAGCAGCTCCTTGAAGCGGGCACACATTTGAGCCAGCCGAGCAAACATGCTCAAACAGGTGGGTGCCGGATCGGGACCTTTGACTCGTTGGCTGTGTAAGACGCTGTCACCGTAGGAAACGTTAAGAGCGATTCCTTCCTCTGCCGAGAGATACTTTAGTCGGACGCAACCTGTATTCATGCATGGGAAGCGGATTTTTAAATATCTTTTACTATTAGAATAACGATTCGAACCAACCTGGACCACCGAGGTCGATGTAGGTCATGTTGAAATCTATACAGCAAATACAAGATGGGCCATTGCAGAGACAATTACTTGGACCGATTTCTTCTTCCTTGGCTTCTGCATCTGTGGTGAGTGAGAGATAATCTGCAAGGAAATAAAAATAAGTGTTGTTAAATTTAAATATCCAACGAGGTCTTTCAGAGGTATCCACTTAAAAATGTAGAGTATAGGTACCGAACCGATATAGAATAGAAATTCCTATACACGGCATATGAATCTCCCTCATATTCGCAAAAACGTACACTCAAAAATAAATTAAATCAAAAACACTTAAAAAATACCCTAATAAAATAACCATAAAAGAGAGCTTAACGACGTGTTCGGGGTATCATCCAAACCATTTGTGGGATAGTTTACCCATCCGGGATACAGTTCGTTTATGGTATTTGTTTATTAGGGTATGCAAATTCCCGCTTCACATTATTGAGTCCGAGCCATGATTACTTAGGCAATAGTCATGCGTGATTAAATTAGAAATAATCACTTGTGATAACAATTTATCTTTTCAGTATTAAATTTTATTCGTTTAGAATATTAATATACGATCAAAAAAGATTAAAAATCAACCAAAGAGATTAAAATTTATTCAAACAAGATAACTGTCAATTTAATGAACCATGATTAAACTGGGTTTAATATCAGATGATGATTTTTTAATCATTCGATATGATTTAACTGAGTTTAGGCAAAATGAAAATAGTTTAATTTTTCTCTTCAAGGTAAAAATTTTACTCATTCTTTGAGTGACCTACGTTTTAGCGAATTAGAGCGAACAGTACTCGTTATTTAGCGTTATGCCGCGGATACACTTGTAGGACAAACTATGAACATGATAATTATTTGTATAATAAATGGTCATACTTGTATTATTTTGGTATAGCTGTTGGTTAGTGCTTATAATTATTATACAAATAATAATCATACTCATAGATTGTCATCCAAGTGTATCCGCGGCATTAATGTCAGAAAAGTCTTGAATAATCATGTTTGTTTAGCAGTATAATATTGCCTTTTTTATTTTATAGCATAGAAGGGGTCGTCAGTAAAAATAATACTGTCCATACTGTACCAGAGTAGCAAGAAAGATATGGTACTACATACAGCATAATAATCTCAGGTGGTCAAATTAGAAGTGCTCAAAGAATACTATGATGAGAGTACATGCTTGAAGATCTATTTGGGAGGTAGCAGTCTAAGTTTGACATTACTTACCTTAAGTTTACATTAATGTTTTTTAATTCATACAACGAACGAAATTCATTTGATCCATCGGCTTCTACAATGTCACACTTCAACTCGGAAATTTAAATCAACCATCAACAGTGTCAAGCGATAGTAATCGATCGGTACTTTTTAATCCACTTTCACCTTGCAGAGATAGTTTATCGGCATGATCTTCTTACTGCCGTTGACCGAAACGATTGCTTCCTTGTTGCTAGACATCGATACAAACTCGCCAATCGCTTCGCGTTCCTCTCCGAAGATAACTTTGAACCGATCTCCGGGTCCTGGGATTGCTGGTTCCAAATTGTTACTCAGCACCGTAACGACGCGGTCCTCAGCGGGCAAGAATACCGAACAGGCTCCGCTATTGACGGTCCGAATGAAGCCATTTTGGCCTTCCAGATCCGAATCGTCGTGATTGCGAATTTTAACTTCTATATCCGTGGTACACCATTCGCCGAATTGTGAATCCAAACTGGCACCAGGTGTTTGTGGATTGTACGGGGACTGTGGAGCTCCCGGAGTAGCAGGAGAGTAACCACTTGGCGAAGGAGTGCCCATATAACCAACCTGATAAGGCGAAGGACTGGGACTGGGACTCGGCTGATACGGACTGTAGTTTTCGGCGTTGAACATATTGCCTGGAGTATGCGGCGCAAAAGGCGTATTGATTTGATACCCTGGAGTGCTAGGGTTATATCCTGGGCTGGGAGATGGTTCCTCCATGTTGAAGTCGAAGTCATTCGATCGAGCTGGCGTATTGGTGACGGCCGGATCCCACGCACCATGTCGAGGAGTCATGCTGCCATCATGGGATGGAGTCATCGAGCCATAAGGAGTACGATTACCAACATCGTACGATGGAGTTTGCGATCCGTGTAATGGAGTCTTTGAACCAGAGTATACCGGCGTTTGAGAACCGTAACTGCTGCCAGGAGTGCGACTTGGTGTTCGAATGTAACTCGAGACGGATCCTTCCTTCGGAGTAGTTCCAACAACGGCAATATGATTTCTGTCCACAGAGATTGTCTGACACGAGGAATGCAACTCGACACGAGCGGTGCTCTCTGTTGCATCTTTGACAATTCCGACGGCGCCTTTGTATGGTCCTCCCGTAATCTTAATACTTTTACCCAGGATCTCCCGGTCTCTGTTGACACGGGCCCCTCCTCGACCACCTCGACCACCACCACGTCCGCCTCCGCGACCTCCCGATGGATGCATTGGGGAGTGTATGCGGGGAGACATGAACCCAAATTGTCCCATTGGCATCAGGGCATTCGCCTGGGACTTATTTCCACCAGCCAGATGAAGATGTCTTGTTTTGCAAACGAAAATGCCACCATTCTCGGTGTACATTCGTGAATGTAGGAATGCTAAGTTCCTGTACAAATGTTTTATTTCACCATCTCGACCTGCATGGGGACCTTCCATAACTTTGACGATATCTTTCCTCCGGATTTGATTCTGTTCCGAATCCAATGCAATTGTATTACGACTTTCTCGTCGCTTCTGCAAAGCGGTCGGTTTACACTCTATGACTTTGCCATGCATTCCAAGGACGTGGAAGTTTTCACGCTCCAACCGAACTATGACGCCCACAGTCTGCGGGTCCAACTGAACCAAATCTCCCCATTGATACTGACCTAGCGAATCTACGCCGGTAGCCATGTCAGAACACAGTTGCAAATCTCTCGGCAACACCTCCAATTCGTGCATGGTCAAATCAGATACGAGCACGATACGCTGCGGTTCCACCCGGACAATCAGACCCGTCTCGCCTTCATATCTTCCGGCAAGCACTTTAGCATGGTCACCAGTTTTGAAATACTTTCGTAGCTCAGATGCTTTGAAGATAAGCGGATCCTTCAAGTCTTCGTGCTTTGGCATGACCGTAATCAGTGCTCCATCAATGGCGATAATTTTAGCTTGCAAATTTTCCAGATCACCAACGCACACCTCAACGTTATCTCCCATTGAAAATGTATGAGCGGTAACCGGATCATCCTTGGTCGAAACGGCCAATTCGATGTTGATTTCCTCCGGTTGCTCTTCAAATCGTTCCAACTCGGCCAGTGTCGGTTTTACTCCCTCAGCCAAAATAGCTGACATTGTGAAATTCTTGTACAGGAATCCTTTTCTGGAGTACCTGTTTCCTTCGAATATCAAAAAGTCGCCATCGGATGTGACTTCTCCTCCGATGGCTCTGATGGCCTCCGGATCGAATGGCTTTGCCGGTGGCCGACGTTTTTTCTTGCGCTTATTTTCATCATTCTCCGATTGGGTTGTCCGTAGAGCACCACGCAAACGAGTATAGTCAATACGCGGAAGCAGCTTCAAATGGACTTGATTCTGTGCCAGATCTACGTAGTCAACTTGAGCAATGTCGTCCTTATAAATACCACGCTTCAATCGGACCCACTGTTTTGGTTTGAGTCCAGTTTGCTCCTTGACTACCTTTAATATGTCTGTCATTTCCTTGATGGGAACCATATCCTGCTTCCAGATACCCATTCTCAAGTTTCCAACATTTGTAATTGCTGCCTTTACGTGGGTCTGTTTGTACGCTTCGATGTAAATATATCCTTTCACTCCCTCCGGAGCAACAACTGATTTAATCTGCAGTGGCTCATCCGTGTTTGAGTAAGTTAGAAATTTTCTCATAAGCAACAGAACTGTTGCTTTCTCCTCCCCAATACGACATTTAACCATCCAGAGATTCGGATCCTTGATTCCTGGCAGCAAAGTTTGCTGCGTAATTTCATCTGACATCTCCTCGCCTCCATCGCCAAAATGCCTCCTGGCAATCGATTCGTCTGCATACTTCTTCCTCAAATACTCTTCGATTTCGTCCTCCTTCTGGTTGTCCCATAAGTTCGTTCCGCGACGTCTGTTTTCAATTTCTCGGGCTGTCTGTCCAAATTCCTCCACTTCGTTACCAACGATTCCAATCTCCTGTGCCCCTTCCTCCCACTCTTCATCCTCATCAACCTCATCGTCCACCTCGGCTTCGTCAATAATAAATCCACCGAATCGTTCCTTCTTCTTCTTCTTTCTTCCCCCTCGTCGGTCGTCATCTTCTTCGTCGTCTTCATATTCTTCCGAATCCAAATCCTCTCCTTCTGGTTCTTGTTCATCCTCGACTTCCTCTTCTTCGGATCCACCGGATATTTTCCGTTTCTTCTTCATACGTATCTGCTCTACATCGGAACCGGAACGAGATCCGGACGCTGAGCGTGATCGCGAACGAGAAGCAGAACGCGAACGGGAACGCGATCTCGAAACCGATCTGGAGGCCGAGCGAGAGATCGAACGGCTGCGATTGGACCCTCCGCTCTTGCGGGAACGGTTCGACACGACACTATCATTGTCCGAACCACTGCCACTGTCCGACATTTCACACTTGGTTCACTTTTCAGCACTTTTTTTTACCAAATTGATTTTTACTTCGAACCGAACCACACCGCCACGAATGAAGAGAAAACTGAAACTGACTGAACGAACAAGAGACCGAAGAAAATGACGTATCAACTTTGGTTTTGCAAAAGCGTTGACAGAAAAAGAGAAAAAGAGAACTTGGCGGTAGACGGGCAGAAATACTTTTCTCTTTTTCGACCGTACACAGCAAAAAAAAAATAATGTAATATCGATCAACATAATTCAAGCTGATGTATGAAATAAAGATGTATACATGTACAGTGCACTGAAACAAGGATCATAGTTACCCTAATAAAATTGTTACGGTAAGTTTGCTTAACGACGTGTTCCGGGTATCATTCAAACCATTTGTGGAATAGTTCTATAATTTGGGTAATCATTCGTTTATGGTATTTTTATCATAGGGTAGGAATACTATTTTGCAGAAAACACGTATTTTCAATATAACCACGCTTATTACCGTTAAATCTACTATGATTTAAATATATTTAACTATGAATGTTAATAAAATTTACTATGGTTCTAGCAAAACTACTATGCTTGCTCAAAATGCTACGTAAATAATAGTATAATTTAATGAAAATTATTTTCTGCAAAAATCTATCAGTGAAAGTATTTAATTTAAACTAGAAATACTCAGAGGGAGAGATAGGCGGAGAAAACAAAATACAATTCGACAGCAGGGATTTGTTCCCAAATTATCTTGCAACCCTTGCTGGAAGCTAGCATTTCAAATGACTTTTATTTATTTTTGATTCGATTTACGTGCAAAATAATAATTGATTGCATTGCAATATTTTGCACATTTCTTGGTGCCATTTATTAACCAACGAAGATCAATTAGTCAATAGAGTTAAAATATTGTTTTTGGTTCCAAAAACTAGTTGAATTTGCGAAGCACACAAAACATAAAGATGATTGAATTTCTGTTCGATTGCAATACTCTCAAATTTATTCTACTAAGAATAAGAAATTATCGGAAAAATTCTAATTGGAATGTTCGACTGGCTCAGATTTTGACAGTTCATTTGGCTCAAAACATTCTCTCCGCCCATCTCTCCCTCTGAGTGTTTCTAATTTAAACCAGCAATATAGTATTTTTTCCAATGGATTTTATTTCAGTGTAATAGACGAGTGCACGGATGGATTTGAGTTCACTCACTCGACAAAAAGTGACACAACAGCGGGGCCCTGTTTACTAAGGCTCTGAACCATTTTTCGATTTTTTTAAACTTTTAGTTAAAATTTGACAGATGATAAGTTATCGATTAACCCTGCTATCCGAGCATGGTTATTTCTTACAGATAAGAAGTTAAATTTTGACAACCATGGCTCGAAAATCGGTCGACCGCCAGCACGGGGATTTTCGAACATAAGAAATAACTTTCGAAATGTCACTTTTAACCACGAGTTAAATTTAACTCGGCAAATGGTTCACAGCCTAAAAATGAACACATGAATAATACTCGCTTAACATTTGCAACGGGCCTATCATCTTTTGTACACAAAACTTGTTAAGCCCTTTTCGCGCGAACCGAATACGCCCACGCAAACTAACAACACCATCGAGTAGGGTAAATTCTCCCCTTCCCAATAGTGCCCTTGGTTTGCGTGAGCGTACTTCGGTTCTCGTGAAAAGCACCTAGCAAGTTGTTTACAAAAGTTGATAGGCCCTTTTAACATGTTACGTGTGCATTAATCAAGTGTTCATTTTTAGTAAACAGGGCCCCGCTGTTGTGTCAATTTTTGTCGAGAGAGTGAACTAAAATCCATCCGTGCACTCGTCTATAGCAAAAAGCAGATACAATATACCGCATAAACGCAAACCATAGCTTGACCTTACCGAAAAGGGTTCAAAATGTTTATAATCCCTACTAAACTTTAACTGAAATGGTTATGGAACTTTACACGAACGTTTGTGTGATAAAGCTTTAACTTTATGTATTATGGTTTTTTGGAAGTGAACCTTACAAATAATGGGTTGTTAAGAACCAAAAATTCTTGTTTTCTCCATACATTTTCGGAAAAAAAAACTATATTAGAAACTTTTTACTTATGATTTATGAACATTAATGGTAATGGTTTTTTTTTTCATTTCGTTTATTTGGCAGGCTCAAATGTTATAAAAATAACTTAGCGGAGCCGAGTAACATAGAATACCAATTATGGTACTCAAAATACAAAAAAAAAAAAATATGTACAAATATATTTTATCATATGATTTATCTGGGTGGCGATCGAAGCGGCGACAAAGCGATCTTCTCCCGTGCACGCAACTTCTTGCTTTCCCGAATTTGTTCCTCATTTCCATTGAACCCGAATCGTGATCGCTGCTGCTGTTTCTGGACATTGTTTCCCGTTGCATGCTCTCCGCTACTCTCGTCGGTCGTCGGGGTAGTCACGTCCATTTCGTTATCTGCATTCAACATCTCCAACCCCGTATCCGTTTCCTGATCGCTAATGACAAACGACGCACCTTCCACCACTACACCAGCATACGTACTGCTGCTGTTTTGTTTTCTTTCACTTTTCCTTCAGTTGCTTCTCCGGTTCCTTCCGAGCCTTCCGCTTGGGACAGGAAAGCTTCCGGTGTCCGTCCGCCTTGCACAGAAAACATTTATCTTTGTTGCCATCATAAAAAATATTTCCTTTGCGATTGAAGAAATGTAATGACGTGGGGATTTCCTTCTTCACATCCATATATTCTCCTCTGTGAGAGACAAGAGCTAACATTCTAATCTTCTCGCTCTGTTCGTTCTAGAAAGAGCACTACATCCAATATATTATTCACTACACCCTTAAGGCCCACGCACATTAGATCCGGATCGGACGCGTTGCGGCAAAGTGACAGCTAAATCTATTGTCTAACTGTCAAATTTACGTCAACGCAACGCAAACGGATCTAATGTGGGTGACCCTTTACTGTGTGTGTAGTTTTTGGAATGAACTGCGCGGTGAGATTAGATCACTCTACACTGGTGGGAACTAGTGAGCGACATAAGAGCTCAAAAGCACTCTGCAGTGAACTCACAGAAGCTCACTCCAGAGAACACTGGAGTGGGAGAACTGGTTGGTCCTCTGGATATAGAGCAAGTGCAATTAGGTTCTGCAGCGTGACGTCACAAATGAACTCAGTGTTAAACGGCTGAACCTTTTTGACAGTTCATTGGTACTGTTTACAAGCACTTAGTCGTTTTTTCGAAAAAAAATTTCTAAAGTTTCTGAATTTTAACTTGAAAATTGTCGAGGAACAGCGCGTTGCAAGGATGTTGCTCGTGAACATTGCAGAAATGCTGTTTACATCTCACTGCAGTCTGAAAAATTATCGAGAAAATCCACCCAAGAAAAAATCGACTAAGTCCACGTAAACAGTACCACTGAACTGTCATCAGATTGAGGTTAACCCCGACGGTGCAAAACCTAATTGTGAATGATTTCCCAATTTTCCATTCGATATTAACGTTGACGACTGTATTTGAGTCGGAAGACTATCTTTACTCCAACGGTGTTTCATATTTACTATTGTGTGAATAAAAAGTAAAAACTCTTCTCTCCTTCACCTTCTCACGTAAAACCGCATACAAAATCAACACACTCGTCATCACCAATACCGATATCTTTGATCAATGCGTGTCATCCTTGTGCTTTATTCGTGTGGAAGACACAGAATTTTCTTGTAGATTTACAGTTAACTTATGAAATTTCACCATGGGAATAAAGAGTTGTAGTTTCTGCTGAGAACAAAGGAGAGTTAATAATAAATAGGGATCTATGTTCTGGCATGGAATTGCGGGTGTCTTGTGTGTATTTTACCGTGCCGCAACCCCAAGTGGATTTTTATTTATAAAAACGCTTCGCGTGCTGCTATCGCTATTGGGCAGCGAGGCAAACCGTACTTAACGTGTTTGGCAACTCTTTTTTTTTTTTATTCAGCAGGCCTGGGTTCAATCCCAGTCGGCGCCGCCAGGATGTTCTGAGGCATAACATCTCTGATCACGCCTTCCTTCGGAAGGGAAGTAAAGCCGTTGGTCCCCGGTTCATGAGTTGATGGGTCGATAGGTAGGGTCCAGGTGTGGGAGCTGCCTCCCTGGCGTCGGTAGCATTGGTGCTCAGCACGGAAAACAAGATCGACGGAAAACAAATCAAAGGAAAAAAAACTCTTTTTTATAATTTCTCATTTTATGAAAACTCTTAAATTGATCATAAAACAATCTTCCGTGCATGTGTACCAGTGGTAGAAATCGGAAAATAATAAGATGAACATTTGGAAGGACCTATATTTTCACCGATTCCCAAGGAATTACCGAAATGAACCATCAGCTGTTGCTCGATTCATGGGTAGCCAAAAAAGGTGAGGAAATGGAAACATTAGTCGAAAGAGTATCAAGCATAAGACATTTTTATATATAAATATTTTTTGAGCAGGATCAAAAACTTTGAGATATTTAAAAAGATAAATTCTCTCACAATTGTTTGCTCTGACATTTCAACGTGAGCAGGCATTAATTGTTTTGATTATTAAAAAAAAATCGGTACAAATCGGTATAAAATCTCAAAAATCGGTATTCTGAGATCAAGGTACCAAGTTCAAAAATCTGTATAAATACCGATAAATCGGTATATCTGGCAACGCTGTTCTACGTTTTGAACTGTCAAACCGGCTACCTATCGTGCAAAGAAAATAAACATTACGATGCTATGAACGCTCCACGAAAGATATTGCAATAAAATATAATCGAAGAAATGATCATAAACACACAGTGAACATTAAATTGTAATGGGATACGCTTGGGGATACGTTTGGTAATGATCACTGAAGAGAATTTATAATATTTGTTGTTAAGATAATTCGAAAAAATCACTAATGTAATGATTTACTACAGCCGCTAATTTGTTTTCTCTCTAGAATTCATTTGAAGTTGGTGCAAAAGTCCTCTGTTGCTAAGAAAAAGGGAAGGGAATCTTTCATAAACCGTGATGCGAATTACTGCTTTTCTCTTGACGTGATACTTATACACCAAATAATACCATAGAGGTAACTAT